GATGGGGGGAATCCCTCCTATGGAGCTATTGTGTTCTCCTGATGGGGGAGGGGGCTGTCCCTGCTGGGAGAACGCAGTGATTATTGCTAGCGGCTATAGTCGTTGGCAAAAATTGCATGTACAATCCAACATGATGGTTGTACCCAAGTCTTACCACATTTGAATTGGGTACCCACATGGAAGAAAAATATATTTGAAATATATTTTAAAAATATTCCTCTCAAATATATTGACATATATTTGAAATGCTGCAATTTTGGCCATTTTCAATATATTTCAATATATATATGGTACTGTCATTTGAGAAACACGCATTTAAGAAGACAATTCATCATCTATTTCTGCACTAAAAGAAAAGTGCTATTCATCTCATGCTAAATTAGTAGAAAATGTACTTTGTAGACACTAAAAAGAACTTGATAATGGGTAGTTTGCTACAAATATATGAAAAAAGTCATTATATATATGTACTGCATGTTGAAATGCGTTATTGCTACAAAATACATGAAAAATATTTTTAAAAATACATTTCAAATATACAGTATGTTTAAAAATACATATACATATATATATATATATATATATATATATATACTGCATGTTGAAGTGCGTTTTTTTTATATATTACAAAATATGTGAAAAATATTTTTAAAAATATATATTTTTCAATATATTATTCAGATTTTTTTTAACATATAAAAAAGTCATTTTAACATATATTTTACATATATTTGTAAATGCATTCCAAAATGTAGATTTGTATTTTTAAAGACATACAGTACATTTGAAATGTATTTTAAAAAATATTTTTCATATATTTTGTAGTAAAAACACATTTCAACATGCAGTATATATACATATATTTATTTTGAAATATATTGAATATGGCCAAAATTGTAGCATTTCAAATATATGTCAATATATTTGGGGAGAATATTTTTAAAATACATTTCATATATATTTTTCTTCCATCTGGGTACAATCAGCCTGCCCATAGATAGTGAACAGGCGCGCTGAACTGGCTGAGATTCGAACCATATATGGCTGGCTAAAAAACGTATTCACACTAGCAATACCATATCTGTGATGAAATGTGTTTACTGTATAGGACATTTCTACATGCATGTCAATGCATGTAATGATTTCCATTGAACCATTCACATTGTGTGTTTACTTGCATTTATCTGTGGTCAGTTTAGCTGCATTTAGAGAAAATAGATGTGATTGGAAACCCTAGAATGCTATGAAAATTAGTTTACATTACTCATATGCAAGAAAAAAAAACTTGAACTCCGAGAAAAAGTTCCCTTGTGTTTAAATGACACGAATACAAGAGGTAAGTGTGAATGAGGTCTTCAAGTAGGGGTGTTGAACTCAATTTCATTATGAGCTGCATCAGCATTATGGTTGCCGTCAGAGGATCTGTTGTATCTGTAAGACTACATGACTCAGAGCACCTCATCCCCCCCCTTACATCAGATGTCAAGACCCCTCCTCAGTTTTTTTGCTAGAAAATTAATTAGAACCCACAAACATCACATATTTTTTTTTTAAAGCAGAAAGAATAAATTAGTGGGTTTTGCAATTTTTTTTTATGTCAAACGATGTTTGCGCAGTGGTTTCTAAAACACAATTGTTTGAGATAAACTGCACTTTTTTGGGGATTTTAATGAAAAAAACCCACAATCCATAACACAGGTTTTTGTAAAACATGAAATATTATGTTACACTGAATAAATAGATAACAAACATGTCATGCTCAAAAATTGCCTGTGCAATGTCAACAAACGACATAAATTTTACTATACATAGGCGATGCTTTAAAAGTCTTTACAGGTTACCACTTTAGATTTACTGAGGAGGACTGGTGCTAGAATTACAGCACATGATCTGATGTTTGTGGTGATACCTCACATGTGTGGGGGCAATCGCTTTTTGCGAGTGTGCGGGACCGACGCATGCATTCATCTTTGTTCACGGTGATGGGGGCACTTTAATTTTTTTTTTTCATTTTACACTGTCACTTTAAAAAAATATTTTTTTTGATAATTTTTTTTGCTGTCACAAAGAATGTAAACATCCATTGTGATACTAAGACCCCAAATCCCTCCTCTGCCCTTAAAAGCATTCAATCTTACCAAGATCGGTGTGATTGAATGCTTTTATATTTTTTTAAACTGCACAAATTCAGTCCTTATGTGCTGCTATGAATATAAACCCTATTGTGTTACCCACATCTACATAATGAAAAATGATTCCAAAAGGAATAGTACAAAAATAAATAAATAGATAAATATGGCAAAAATAAAATATGGATGATATCTAGCAGCAGTGCACTCGGTGACCTCTCATACTAGTCATAACATAACATCAATATAACAAAAATAGTGCTGCGCTAGTACCATCATGATGAATGTGATCCTAAATATCATAAAATGTTCCACATACTTTAACTAAAAAAATAACATATATTATATTATAACAAATAATTTTTACAATACAATATATTACTGTGCATATAAATCAACATGCGTACAGTATACACAAATGAGAAATGTCCCAATGTCACATAACAAAGTCCAAATATAAATCCAATCGTGAACTATGAGATGCACTAAAACACACCAAAACGTCTACCTTCATGTAGAAATATTCAGCATAAATTCCAGTGCCAAACCATCACCTGGTGAGCTCTCACCTCAAAAATCATGACCTCCCACCAAGTGTTCGGTCAACAGCACTTTTGGTGCTACTATCCCCGGGACTGAAAACAATTCCTCCGCTCCGGTTAAGGCTCCGGTATTTCATACATATCTCCTCCTCCTCTCAGTTCTGCGCCATAACGTAAAAAATGTTGCAAATAGTGCCTTATCCTTAATATACTTTATTAGTAAAACCAACAAACAATATTGCATTCACATGTATAGGGTGCCAGCCCACACCAAAGTATACAGTCAATGAATAGATGTAACAATGTTTGTATTTGCCACTGTGTGCTAATACAGACCACCAGCTGAATTCTATATGGACGTGGTGATGTGATCCAAGCCCTGCCCCATGGGGGAATTTATGCTGAATATTTCTACACGAAGGTGAAGTTTTGGTGTTTTAGCACAACAAATAGTTTACAATCTGATTTATATTTGGACTTGTTATGTGAGATTGGGACATTTCTCATTGGCACTTAACCCCTTGGCGCCAGCGGCTCCCGGCCCTTTAAGGGTTTCTGAAGCTGGGAGGTGGGGCGGGGTTTATGGTCATGTGACCGCTGTGACACGCCATCACGGCGGTCACATGATCGGGAAAAGTCCCGATTGAAAGAGGAGATTGGGACCTTTCTGTGAGTACCGCAAATGTGTGCTGGTGCTCTCAGCACATGTTTTTTTTTAATAGAACGCAAATGCGCGGCCGCTTGGCATCTAGGCCCAGACGCCAGGAGGCTGCACATTTTCATTCGGCTGGCGCCAAGAGGTTAACATATACACATATGTTGATGTACATACATGCACAGTAATATATTGTATTGTAATATTATTTATTATAATATAATATGTTATTTTGTCAGTTAAAGTATGTGGAACATTTTATGATATTTAGGATCACATTCTGCATGATGGTACTTGCGCAGCGCTATTTTATATATATATATACTGTATATATATATTTTTTTTTAAATGGCACCGTTCTTCCCGAGTAAGCCAGAAGTGATGTCAGATCATTGATTTACTATTTTTATGGAGCCATACAAAACCCTGGCTGATTGATCAGGACTCCTAGTGGGACATGAGATCCTGTTAAAACGCTGAAATATGGTGGGGGGGTCGGGGGTGTCTCCTCCCACTGCTTGTAATAGCAATCAGTTACCCATTTCGGTTGCTATTACAAGAAAGCCGACCGTCGGCTGTAAATAATGGTAAGGGGATGATGCAGTTGCAGGCATCGGCCCGGTACAACCACGTGATGACCAATGGCGTACCAGATACGTGACTGGTCAGCAAGTGGATATTATATGTGGCCCTTTTGATGCAAGGGGATGTGAGCGGCTGCACTTGAGACCCTTTCTATCAAGGGAGTTGACCACCACTGCTAATCCCTGTATTACTTGTAATTATCAGGCCATATATGATCTAAATTTGTTTGCCCAGATCTGGTCCTGTGGTGCTTATACAGTATATAGGGTGTGCATTGGCTGTTCCAACGTTATTAATGCAATGCTTTTGCTATAGTACCAAGTAATATACCAAGTCCTAGTAGGACTATATGCAGTACATTGTGTGCTCGCCATTTTCAGTGGCTCATACTGTGTCTTGACATGAATAAGAAAAAGGCAAATGAGAGGAAATGCTGCTAAGAGGGTATTCAATTGAGTTTTCATCCACTAATGTTATGTTTTAATCAAAGTTTGCCGAGGAGTGTTCGGTGATTTGCATGCATTGAGCTGTGCTTGATCTGCACATTCTGTACTGATGAATTTCAGGAAGTGTACATGCTTGGATGCTCCTGTTCAGTGATACTTAAGCTGTTAAGTATTGGCAGAAGGATAACATTATCATACTTATGCTTAACAAAGAACATGTAGCATTGGCAAGGAAAATGAAATAGGATTTTAAAGTACCAAGGAATAGCAGGACTGACTGCAGATACAGTTCAGTGGCTTAATCTGACTACAGGTAAAGTACAGGACCATAAACTAAAATAAATTCACATATTGTGGAATTAAGAAGGCTTCTTTGTTTAACCATTAAGTATAAAGTAGATAAAGTCATTTATTATCTCTCTTCAAATAAGGGCTTATTTTAGTGTTAAGTGATGGCCTATATATTAGGGCACGAGTGTCAAACTGGCGGCCTTCCAGCTGTTGCCAAACTACAAGTCCCATGAGGCATTGCGAGACCGACAGTTAAAAGCATGACTCCCAAAGGAAGAGGCATGATGGGACTTGTAGTTTCTCAACAGCTGGAGGGCCACCAGTTTGACACCACTGAATTAGGATGTAAGTTAACCACTTGCCATCCGGCCACTGTATATGAACGGCCGGATGGTGGCAGTCCAGGGGTGGGTTGCCGTTCATAAACGGCACTTTTTATTTTGGACTGGGTGCGCTCCCTGGGAGTGCACAGCACCGCGATCCAGTGCCCGAACACCGATCGTCGTATGGGACCTCTGTGCGAGGTCCCGATCATGTGATCACTGATTGGCCAATCAGTGATCACATGCAAAGTAGTAAGCAAGATGTCACTTCTGACATCATTGCTTACTACGTGTGAAATCTGTGAATGATCACAGAGGTCACATGGTACAAGGCTTATACCATGTGACAAGCTGTGACCAATAACAGCTCACACAGTAGTTCTCAATGGCTGCAAGAATGCAGCCAGAGAGAATGAGAAACGATTGCTTTTACAGCCTTTATGGGTGTAAAAGCAATCAGTGTAAAAAAAAAAATCTTCATCTCCCCCACAAGTATTACAGTGTCACCATGGTAACACTGTACTGCTAGGGTGACAGTATGTAGAAAAAAAAAAAACATAAATAATATAAAAAAAATAAAATAAAAATGTAAAAATGTTTTTTTAAAAAATATAATTTTTGGTTATAAACTAATTTGGGTTATTTTTTTTTTCTACTAAAAAAGATAACTGAATACATTTTGGCCAAGATTTATGATGAAAATATTATTTATTTGCAAAATTTAAATAAAAATCCCAGTGGTGAATAAATACCACCAAAATAAAGCTTTATCTGTCTCAAAAAAATTCATATGGGTACAGTGTTGCATGACCGCGAAATTGTCATTCAAAGTGTGGTAGCGCTGAAAGCTGAAAATTAGCCTGGACAGGAAGGGGGTAAAAGTGTCCGGACTTGAAGTGGTTAAAGAGGAAATTATCCTACAAATTACAACAAAGGCACATTTAGAGATGTTTTGTAATAGTAATCTACAAACAGACACTTGTAGATACCATAGTTGCAGGTTTTTTGTTTTTTTGTATGCCATATTTTATTCTATTTCTCCTCCTGACTATTCTCACAGTGGCCATTTTCACTAAGGGCAGATGGATCCATCTCCCTTTACTTCTTGGAACTCTGGGTCTGCCTCTTGGAACATGTGACAGTGCACATCATCTGAGGGGGAAGGCACTAGTAATATAATCTTCCCAGCATGGATTTGTGAGGCCAAGGTTATTTCTCCAGTGCGTCACTCAACCAGAAAGTGGAAAAACAATAACTGGAAGTAAAGGCAAACAATGTTTGTTTAGCTAATGGATGTAAAATGATTTCATATCAACGTGCTGCATGCTGATGTGAGTTTAGTGAAGGGGGGAAAAAGTCCACTTTAAGGGCCCCTTTTTATAAGGCTAGGTTAAGTATAAAGGCTAGGGTTATGTTTTAAATTGAACCTGTGATTTTCCAATTCAATGCAAATGAATACTTAAAGTGGAGTTCCACCCAAAAGTGGAAGCTCTGCTTGTTTGCCTCTTCCCCCCCTCCACTGCCATATTTGGCACCTTTTGGGGGGAGGGGAAAGCAGGAACCTGGTTTTGATAGGTACCCACTCTTACTTCCAGCTCAGCTCGCTGCGAGCCCCCTCCTTCCTCCCACAGTCTCCAGGGAACCTTCACAGCTGCCAGAAGACTGCCAAACCAATCAGGAGGCGCAGCATGACTCGCACATGTGCAGTGGGCACCTGGCTGTGAAGCTGAGATGCCGGCTCCGTGGAGAGAAGAAAAGGGATGGGACAGCATGGGTGAGCACATCACTGAACCCTGGGACAGTTTTTGTAGCTGCTGACTTTTAATAAACACAAAAACAGCTGGAACTCTGCTTTAACGTGGTTATAAACCCTTACATATATCCATTGAAGTGACTGGCCTCAGGTGATATACAGAGATGAAATAAATCCTCCTACATATGTTATACATGTTTATCTGCAATATTCTCTTCTCTTCATCCATTCAAAGTACAGAATTTATAAAGCTTGTCTAACCTTTTTTTTTTAGAAAACGGGGCGGAGAGCTGGAATTACACACTGCAAAACTGAGTAAGGAGATCTCTGAGAACTGATTGGAGGGAAAGGGCACACTCCACTACACACAGCACACAGGCTGTGTACTGAGGATCCCTCCCCTGTCACCATTTTACTCTTGGTGTCAGGAAAGCTTGCTGATAGCAGAGGGACAAAGTAGCAGACAGAAATGACACTTAGTGCTCTTAATTGAGACAAGTACACACTGTAGAGGGAAATGCTTGTTCACATTCTATGTGTGAGGTTTACAACCGATTTCACTTTTCTTTGCTCCCATGCTACTTTATTTAGTGCTGGGAGTTGAAGTAATGAATTACCTGTTGCTATGCCAATAACCCTGTGTAAGTTGAAACTCTGGAGATTTATAGGTTACACAGGATTTCCCTTCACTCCTGTCAGCTGAACGTAAAGGTAATGAGGGAAAGGAAGATAAGTATATGCAGCTAATGAGAGCTAAGTTATGGGAATCTGTTGCTTTTCCTGAAATGTTGACGGGTTCCTTTTAAGAATTCATTTTAGGGTTAAGTTAAGTGCTAATTCTAAGAGTTAGGATGATAATCACATGTCTGTGTTAGGGCCAAGTAATCATTAGGGAATAGTTAAAGGCCAGCATCTTTTTTTAAATGAAATACATACATACTGTGTATGTACTGTATATATTTACTGTAATGTACAATGTGTGTATATAATGTATATATATACACTCACTCACTTTATTAGGTACACCTTGCTAATACTGGGTTTGACCCCCTTTTGCCTTCAGAACTGCTTTAATTTTCGTTGTATAGATTCAACAAGGTGTTGGCAACATTCCTCAGATATTTTGGACCATATTGACATGAGTTAATGTTTATTTATTTTGTATTTCAGGTACTTATATAGCGCCGCCATTTACGTAGCTCTTTACACATATATATATATTGTACATTCACATCAGTCCCTGTCCTCAAGGGGCATACAATGTAAGGTCCCTAACTCACATTCATACATACACATACTAGGGACAATTTAGAAAGGAGCCAATTAACCTACCAGCATGTCTTTGGAGTGTGGGAGGAAACTGGAGTACCCGAAGTAAACCCATGCAGGCACAGGGAGAACATGCAAACTCCAGGCAGGTGATGCCGTGGTTGGGATTCGAACCAATGACCCTAGTACTGCCAGGCAGATGTGCTAACCATTTAGCCACTGTGCTGCCCTTGAATTTCTATCATCTCAAACCAGTCTGCCCATTCTCCTCTGACCTCTGACATCAACAAGGCATTTTTGTCCACACAACTGCTGCTCACTGAATATTTCCTCTTTTTGGGACCATTCTCTGTAAACCGTAGAGATGGTTGTGCGTGCAAATCCCTGTAGATCAGCAGGTTTTGAAATACTTAGAGCAGCCCGTCTGGCACCAACAAACATGTCACATTCAAAGTCACTTAAATCCTTTTTCTTCCCTATTCTCAAGCTCAGTTTGAACTTCAAGTGGTCTTCACCACATCTAGATGCCAAAATGCATTGAGTTACTGCCATGTGATTGGCTGATTAGCAATTTGTGTTACGAAGCAATTGAACAAGTATACCTAATAAAGTGGTCAGTAAGTGTATATGATTCTATTTTAGGAAGCCCAAGGGCACGAAGGGTAGTTGTAACAGCAGTTATTGAGGCATCTCTTCTGCATAATGAACATCAGTGCTCACTAAAACAGTCTAAGCAGAACATTTCATCTAGGGTGGATATTTGGATGAAACCAAATGCCTCTAATACAAGGATAGTTTGTGGTAGAGCATAAGCCCTGATCATAGCCTGGTGACATTGACAGCAAAAAAAATTGTCCTTCTTTCACTTATAATATTGTAAAATAAACATTTTCATAAGCTGCAAATGATGTGGGAATGTACTCTTTTCTTTCATTGGAGATTTCCATCCTTCCCCACCCAGGGCCTCTCATGGCACAACTGGTTATAAAGCTTGATGTCAAAAACGGTCTTAAAACAAAAAGTCAACATAGTGGTTAGGATGAGGAATTTTTAGGAATGTTAACATTTTCATAATCATTTTTTATAATTCAGTCAGTCCAATAAGACTATTATAATAATTGTAAATGCTGGTTATCAGTTGTGTGGAATTCCCTCAAAGATATTTTATGGTCTAGTTATGAACTTAAGTATAGCTGCACATTTGCTCTGTCAAAGCTGAATCTTGAAAAACATCTCATGTAAGCCATGGTTGAGCCATGGTTTTGCTGCCCCTCCCCACCTGCCCATCTAAAAGGTAACATGCAGCCATGAGGGGATCTTATACATTCCACATGCTGGCACCATCTGTCAAACTGGCCCATTTAAATTAGTTAAAAAGGCTCAAGGTTTTTTACCTTCTTGCATTCTATACATGAAGGTAAAACACCTTCCGTGTGCAGAAGCCCCCCCCAGCCCCACCTAAAACTTACTTGATCCCCATCGCGATCTAGTGAGGTGCATGAAAGCCTCGTCTCTATGGGGACTCTCCCTCCATGTTGGCCTAGACAGCGATGGGAGCCACTGGCTCACGCTGATTTCAATCATAGCCAGAAAACCAATGAGGAGAGTGGGGGGTGGGACCAAGCCACACTCTGTGTCTGAATGGACACGCAGAGCAGTGGCTTGGGAACGAGCTTGCTTAGGTGCCCCCATAGCAAGCTGCTTGCTTTGAAGGCACTCGGCAGGGGGGAGAGGCCAGGAGCATCAGTGAGGGACCCAAGTAGAGGAGGATCAGGGTTGCTCTATGCAAAACCATGGCACAGAGCAGGTACGTATAAATATTTATTATTTAAAAAAAAAAATGCCTTTAATATTACTTGAAGTCAACAGAATAACACTGCAATCTTGAGCCAAATGCTTGGCTTGTGGTGTTTCAGTCCAACTTTGGAAAAAAAAAGGCATTTAAAAAGCAGGAGGATCACCACTCCAATGCCTGGATGGCACTACTTTACCACCATCTAAAAAGTTCTCCACTGTGGTGGAGAGGTGATAGAGACTACTACCTGTCTAAACAAGGCCTTATATTGTCAATATCATCACTGTGTATAGTAATGCTGATGTATAGAACTGATAAAGAGCCATTTCATTCCAACTTGCATACAACCATTACAGATTTGTTCAGTGGAAGTGAGTTGAATTATTAGCTCTATATTTTAGCCTGTATCTGTGTTATGAGAATAACAGTTAGGATTGGTTAAAATGGGTATGTTTTCTTCCTTTTTGGAGATCCTTCTTTTCTCCAGTGTACTGTATATACCAATCGGATCAAAT